CTTCATGCTCAGTGGACAGGACCCCAACAGAAGCTCCATCTCCCCAGCCTCTCAGAAATCTCAGGCTACAAAGTTGGGTGAAGGCTGCTTAACAATGCAGTCAACTCCGCTGGGATGGGCAGAACTGGCCACACACTGGGCATATCAGCCGACGCGAGGCCTCAGTTCCCCACTGAGACAGCATATTCCTATAGTCACAGTAAGACAGTGCGGAGGGCCTACTTGGCGCTTTCCGAAGTCCTATCTTCTTGCCTTGGTATTGCTACCAGCTTCCTCTGATGGCCTCCAAGCACCACAGAACAGGCCAGAAATAAAAAATAAAAAAACACCACTTGGCTGAAGCACTCCAGGAAGCTAGTAAATTTTCCTGACAGCATTTCATTTAGGTCATCCTGGGATGTTACACCCACTCCATACTATATTGCAGCGATATGTACTTTGCTTCCAGCATATCAACGGTACACTGCAGATAGCAAAGGACAGCGCGAAGGGCCCTCTTGCCGTGCTCGTGCACTTGTCTTCCTGAGCAACGATTAATCCGGTTGGGCATCAGTCACGACACAAGAACCCCACTCGAAGCCACATTCCCCGCAGCTTAGGAAGCCCCTCACCAACCTGCTGTGCTGTTAGGATTTAATTATTTTTGAAATAATTGAACAGGTGAGCAGGAAATGTTCACACAGAGCTTTTACTTCCGCATCTAACAATCAAAGTGCAGCTGAACGGATGACAATGGGGAAGAGGAGACTTAAAAGGAAGTCTTTTTAAAGGGTGGAAGTTGCCTGGGAATGATTTCCCCTTAAACCTCATTAAGGCTGGAAACTATTTTATGCAACAATGGCTTTTGGGTTTTTTGTTTGGTTTTTCTTTTTTCTTTTCTTTCTTTCTTTTTTTCTTTTTTTGTAAACCTGTCCCTTCCCTTTTTTATTGTTATGGTAATCAAGCCTTAATATAGTACCGATTTCTGGTATGAAATCAAAGTGAGGCCCGGAGGCAGAGGCAGCAGTGTGCCAGGCAGGTGCAGTAAAAGCAAGGCAAGGCACCATGCGGCGTCAAATAAGCCACCGGCTCCTTTTGTAATTGATAAACCATTTGTCTAAAAGTTATTCTAACCTTGACAATGTTGAACTCTTTAATGGGAAGTGTGGTGAGGGAACAGGCAGGGAGCCGCAGGTCCGGGAGATGGGGCCGCTCTAGATGGTTGATCTTCAGCAACGAGGTTGCTCCCCGATAGAAGGTGACCTCTCATCCCCCCAGTTTATATTTCTGTTTACAGGTTGGCTCTCGGGGTTCCCAGGAGGAAGGCCAAAAAAGAACAAGGAAAATCCCTGGTGCAAGGGAGGAAAGCGAGCTGGCATCTACTACACCTGGAAAGGAAACTGCCTTATCTAGCTCAGTTCTGCTTACACTGGCTGGCAGCAATGCCCTCCCCAGGTTTCAGACTTTGGCAGCCTTACCAGAAGACACAACCAAAGACTAAGCCTGAGATCCTCTGTGCGGAAAGTCCACACTCCACTCGTGGTGGGCCCCGTGCAGTGGGAAGGGATGCTGCCGTGGCTGATGGCAAGCGGGATGCCATCGCAGCAGCACCTCCGCTTCAAGACCACATTCCCAGGAGGATTATAGGTAAGGGTGGATGAATCTGTCTGTTTCAGGTTCTCCTTTTTCTAATCTGATTTACTGTCATCTCCTTTCTACATCGGTTTGTGAAGTTTAAGTCTCCTCGCGTTTTTGGGCCCAGTTTGTCTAACACAAGCGTCTTTGCACATTAATTTCACTAATTACATTTTTCCTTAAGTATACATTTTGACTTAAGGAAAAATACAGCTCTTAAAATTGGAACATTGTATTGCAAAAAATGCAAAGAACTCAGAGAGTACGGAGGTATCGCTACATTATGTTGCCTGTGTTCATTTGGGAAGCGTTAAAATGAGAAGGACGGACTCCCTGGAGAAGAGCCCAGTGCTGGGAACAATGGATGGCAAAGGAAGAAGGGGACGGCAGAGGATGAGGAGGCTGGATGGGGTCAGTGGGGCAGTCGGCGTGAGCTTGAGTGGACTCCGGGGGCTGGTGGAGGACAGGAAGGCCCAAAGGAGTGTTGTCCGTGGGGTCGCGATGGGTCAGACGCGACTCCATGACTAACAACAACAAAATGCAACCTAAAGGTTCCCGCACGCCCCAATAGAAAGTGAGACCTGTTGCCAGGTTGGACCAATAGTCCAGGTAGCTGCTGGCCAAATCTTCTGGGAGAGCCCAGGCAGGCCTGGCCCCTTTGCCCACGCTAGGGATGAGCCCTGCTTGCCTTCTCTTCCTGTCTCACCTGGGCTTTCACGCGTCAGGTTCCAGGTGTTAAAGGCACACTTGAAAACAACATTCCTATTCACCAAGGTAGCTTCTACTCTGTGGCACAAATTGTTCAAGGGTCATTCTCTCACAAGAGTTTCACAACGGTGCACAAGGCAAGGCCAAAGGAAAAGCACACAAACGGATCCTAAACAGCAGGACATTCCTAGGATTGCATCCTCAGTGCACCAGGCCGGGGGGGCACACCAGGGAAATACGACGGCATCCAAAGCTCCAAGCCTAACAAATGCGGTAATTATGCCCCACAAAAAGAGTACATTGAGATTTCCAGGCTAATCCTGAGGTGCCGTTTGTAAAAGCTAACAGGGAATTATTAATTTAAGAGCTGGCTAACATTCCTCTCCCTACAGCTAAAAAAAACTCTCAGGAAGAAAATATACTGGATTATTGCCCAGTGGGGAAATAAAAGTTATGAATAATGTTTCTGTCTCCATCATTGTCAGTGCCTTAATATTCCTAATTACTTTTAAAAGCTGGAATATTTAACTCTGGAAGCCCTCTGCCTCTCACGGGACGGGCTCCCCCAAAGCCCCGTGCAAATGTTCAGTGCTGGCCTCGTTTCTGGGGAGGCAGATTGTGCGCATCGCTCCCGTGGGAGGAGACTCGTGGGCATGTGGAGGACTGTGCCCCACACCTGCGCCACCCAGCACCGCACCTGGAAAGGAACAGCGCTACACCCGCTTGGAGATGAGCATTTCGTCTTGCCTGCTTCCTCCTTGCACCAAGGGAAGCTTTTGGGCCACAGAGGGCTTTTCTCTTTCTTTCTGTATTAAATTTGTAGAAAAGCTGCCCCTTCGCTTTAGGGCCCTCTGCGGTTCCCTCTGCTATTGTAACTTCCCACAATCCGTACACATTAAAGAAGTGCCCATTTCTGTGGGGGGCGGGGGAAGAAAAAAAGATGATTAAAAGAGTAATTCGGGATAATATGACTTCCGGGCCATATTTCATCATCATTTCTATCAAGGGCTTTTAAAAGCTTTTCTAATAATAGCTGCTCGCTATTTCATCCCAGCTTCCTTGCTCTTATCAGTCTGCCCTCCGAGGAAAAGACCTCCTCTCCTAAGACAAGGGAATTTAACATCCCCAGGTGGCTGCACACGGCATGTGCCCTGGAGCTGGGCTGTGGCCGCTCGCCCTGCGAGGGGCAGTCGCCTCCTCTCCCCTGCCAGCACCTGGGCTGCCTGGCCAGCTGCATCGAGGCCGCCCAAGAGGTGCATCTGCTGCTATCAAGTAACAACCCGCCCCATAAAGTGGCCAGACCCCGCACCCACTGGCCCAGCGCGGCCCACCAAGAAGGGTTCCTTTGGCTGCCGACGGTTCAGTGTTTTTCCGGCTGGGCGCAGTGAGTCTCCCGCCATTCGGAAAGGCTGAAGCACCTCTCCGGAAGCTTTGTTCCCTGCCGGCAGTGCCACCTCTAGGCTATCAGGGGCTTTTGGCTCTGACAGGAGCTTCCCTGAAATCGATGTGCCCAACCGCTTGGCCAAAGCTAAATCGGGGGCCCCCTGCCAGGAGGAGTCCCAGCAGCAAGAACAGGGGCTGGGGAAGTGCCCCACTGCTTCCGTGAGCAGGGCTGGGCTGTCGTTCCATCGCCCTCGTCCTTTATAAGGGTACTTGTCCAAGAGCTTGATCAAGACTGGGAAAAGAAGTGGACTTCCCCCTCGGTAAATTAACTGCAATAGATATTTTGGACTCACTCGCCCGTTCCAGCAGTGCGAATAAGCGTGGCTGCATTATGTCCACAACAGGTACATTGCCTTGCGTTGCCGGACTCTCTGGTGTTTACTCTGGAGGCAACGTCAATGTTGACGCTTCGCTCTAATCCGAGTTCGCCAAGCCAGCAAACGCACCAATGCACAAGCGGCCAGGCCAACTGGACATGCTGTGACAGGAAGGGTTTTGAACCTCTAAGCACATCAGATCTTCTTCCAGCAGGAAGCATCCACACCAGCCGGTGCAGAATTTGCCGAATTCAGCTCCCCACTCGCCTACCTCTCCCGAAAGAGAAGCACCCAAACGAAGGCTGAGAGAGTTCCCAAAGGGCAGCACTGTGCTGTGAACCCGGGAAATGCTCCTGGGACATGGAGACAGGGACAGAGAGACTCCCAAAGGGGAAGGGAATTCACATGGAGGAGGAAGCAGAGGAACACTCTGATCGGTGTATCGGTCCTGGTGGCATGGATCGGCCAATCCAAGGCTGCAGCACGTGACATATTCCATTCAGCCATCGTAACAATAACAGGTCTGGAGGAAGAAAGATCCAGGAACAGGAGGAGCTATTCATGTGCAGAAAGGATCTTGAGGTGGGGGGATGCAATAGCCTCCCTGCAGAAGTTTGGCAGTGAATTTATGACAGTTTTTAAAAGATCTTGACTGTGCAGACAGTCTAAGGATTTTTAGAAATGTAACATAATCATTGCCTTGTGGAGATGATTCTTGTCTCAAAAAGGATAAGATAGGCAACTTCTTAACAAAGGCCCAGTCTATCTGGGAAGTCTGAGCGGGTTCTATTTGGAAAAGCAGGAAAGATGTCCTAGCTCTTATACTGCACTCAGTATGGGTACACTGGCTCCTACAACAATGAGTTACCTTGTAGTTACAGAGCAGGAATTATTCTTAGGGGGGTTTTTCCTACTCACCACTGGAACAATCCGGACCTCCCCATCCTGGCTCACAGTGACACGTGTCAGGGGAAACACACCTTCCATGGACACACTCCTCTGTGCAGAGAGCTGGGAAGACACAAATATATATACACATTAGACGCATTACGTTAAAGAGAAGGCAAAAATATGCACATTTGTGAATTCTGCGTTATCGGTTAAGAAGATGCCTAGCCATTTGCATCCTTGGGGCTGTTGTAATGCGCAGCAATATTTTAAGAAGTAACCCCTGTATTGGGATCAATAACCAGAAGACATTACACCAAGGAGCTCGTATGAACTCATCAGTGTCCAGCACCAGCCTGTCGTGCAGCCAAAAAAGCAATAGCCATTTGTGTAGATCAATCGCTATGAGAAAGCTGCAGGGGAGGAGGTCTCGGCTGCTCCGAGCTCCTTCCCGCATCCCTGAGATAAGGATGTTTACGTGCCCTTCTGGGGAACTCCACTGGGACTTCTGGTCTCCTCTTGCCCTCCCTGCAGTTTCCCACTGGGGCTTTTCACCGCTCCTAGCAAGCCCTGGGACCTTGGGCGGCCTCTACGGCATCTTCAGCTTGCTAGTCTGCCCGGTGGCTTTCCACTTGGGACGTGGATCCCCTCAGGAGTGCTGTCCATCATATTAAGAAACCCTACAGTGGGAGGGAACCATCCAAGCTTTTCTTTTGCTTCTTCACCAATAATCTGCACCAATATTTCATCACATTATTCAATCAACTGTATGTTATTGTTCAGACAGGTGGTCTTTGTTCCTGATTATCGCTGAATCTAAACTGGTTGGCTGGAAATAAACCCACCAAATATAGCATCTTCAGAAGGTGCAAAATGTATTAACTGGTGCACAAAGGTTAAAGAACCAAACACAAACTGGCACTTCTTTTCTTTTTCAGCAAATTGTGAATAGGGGTATATGAATAGGTCATGATCCAGAATGAGAGAGAAGAGATAGGAGTAAGCTGGCTGGTGGAAAACGGTAGGGTGAAAGAAAGAAGTCGTCTTCGCCTGCTGCGAAACAGGTTTCCATCAGGCCTGGAAACGGGGCCCGGGCAATTTGCTCTGGGCCCAGGCTCTTGCCATGCCTCCTGTGCCAAGCCCCTCGCAGGGGGGGCAGGAAAAAAGAAGGGCAGCGGTAGCGGAAGAGGAGGCTCATGATCCAAGTGTCTTCAGCCATATTTGCAAGGGATTGCGAGTTTCTTTGCTATTCCCTCACCTAATGAAGAATGAGTTATGTTACGCAGATTCATGTACTGGATATAGTGTGTGTGTGTGCACGCGCGCACGCACGTGCACACACATGCGCACACTCCACCAGCCGGATTTAATGGCTGCATTTTACATCTCAACATTATACAGCACTTTGCAGCCAAATCCCTGCCTGCTGCCACAATCCTAATGAACATTTATATAGCGGTTTTATGAGTGTGGAAAAGACCTCACAACGTTATCGCAGTAATCCTTGCAGCCACACTCGTGTGGAAGTAGCAATCCTGAAGATCAAGAGGAAGCATAAGCTTAGGTGCATCAAGCTGAACTTGCGGCAGGAGCAAATGCGCAGTCCTGATAAGCCGTGTTTTTATTTGGCGGCCTCAAGCTGCTCACCTGAAATCACCCGTTTGAAAATGGAAGTATTAAAGACTTACATTCCAGAGTTCTGAAAGTAAATGAAATAGAGATTGAAAGATGTTTTTCTACCTGAAGGGACGCTTTTTGTTGGCAAGACTGGCATCGCCCCCGGGGTCAAGAAACCAGTTCTGCTCTACCCAAAGGCAACCATCGGGCTCCATTTGGAAGTGGAGCTAGCTGATGCTAATAAAAGTTTCTAGATCTGCCCCATGAAATTTTTTTTTGGGGGGGGGATTCTGCGGTAATCTTTAGTGCTTAATTAATTCTTCATTCTATTAGCATTCTATGTAATAGGATATAGCTGTCCCCACGGCACTCTTCCTAATGTAGTTTTGCAAACGATCTCTCCTGTTAATGGAACTATAAAAATTACTTGCATCAAAAGGTCACACAAAAATAAAGATGAACCTGCGCCCTATTTCACAGGCACCCAAAGGTCCCCGGCGTGAAGACGACGCTTCCACGCAAGCCGAGGCGGCGTCACGCCGTGGGAACCACAGCTCCCTCAAGGCTGGTGCGCCACTTCTTTCACATCTGCAGCCCCCCACCCCCACTGGACTATTTCTCCTGAACAATCTAGCACCTCATTGATTAGTTTATTATTAGCATTCTTGGCATGAGTAGGAGATCAGTACAGAGCTGGATTCAGCCTGGTAATAAAATGACCTACATCAAAGTCCTGCCAAAAATGGCAACTTGGTAGCAGATGCGTTTAGCATGAGATATTGGGCTATGTTCAAGGTCGTGCAGAAACTGTTCCACAGCACAGAATTTAGAAAGAACAGGGGAAAAGAAAACAGTCGACGGAAAGGTCTCAGGAACAGTTTCACCCGATGCTTATCGCTGTCTCTCCATAATTGCCTCCCCCAGTTCCGCAATAGATTTAATCCAACCTCGTTTCCTAATTTCCCGCGATTCCCAACTTTGGTCTCTGGTTTCAGCACCCAAGCACTGGCTGACTGGGCAGCACTTTCTACCCGATCATGTGAGAAGCTAGCCCATGTAGAGAGCCCAGTGAAATAAATAACGACAATCTTAACAATAAAATAATTAATTACTCATCGTTAGCATGGTGCTGCACAGAGGTCAAAGTGCACGGGGATGGGCCAGCTCAACCCTCTCCTGCACTGGGAACGGCAGCTGGGATTGCTGGGCGGGTCTCCCCCAACCACCAGCAGCACCGATCCAGAACACTCTCCCCTCACCGCCACCAGCTCTCTCTGCAATGGGATCACTGGGAAAGGGGGTGGAGTCAAAGCCCCCCTCTCCAAATCCAGCTGCGCTTCCTCTCTGCCGTGGGCAGCAGGAAGCAGCTTTCCATCCCACCCCTGCTGAGCGTGGGTCGTCCACGGGGCAGAGGGGGGAAGTGGGCGCATCTTCCAAGGGCCACGCAGACGTTCAGACATGCTCGAAGGCAAGTCCACATTGCAGGAGTGCTGGCTAAGGGAGAGAGAGGACAGCTTGCCTCAAGCTGCCCGGGAAGCGCCTGATCCCTCCCGCAGACGCATGCGGCAGTGCTCGGAAGGACTGGAACCGGAAAGCCCATGTCGCCGGTGGGTGGCCGATGATGAGAGAACTGCAGCCTGCTTGGGAATGTGAATGACTGAAGCTGAGCCAAGAACCTTCTGGTTCACTGGGACAGTCGGAACGTGGAGCATGGAGCGTATGAACTGAGGCAGGCTGGAAGCCGTAACAGTAAGAACCAGAACATTTCTTCCCTTATGTAGCATTTGTATATACCATCTTGTGGCCACATGGCTCTCTAGACAGTTTACATAACTGGATGGCTTACGTAATAATTTGAACATGGCAGTGCTTGGTGTGAGTGAACTAAACCAGACTGGAACAGCACATTTTCAGTCAAACACAAAATGTTTGACTCTGGACATGACAAACGCACGAGTGGCTGTAACCGGCAGCAGGAACGCACGATGCAAAGTCGGATCAAATAGAGCCAGTCAGTTTTCTTGGGAAGTCTATCAGCGTAACTATAAATCCAGCCTACACTCCAACCACAGGTGCTGGAGAAGAAGAAATTTGGTAGGCATCTAGTTATCTCTGAGAGGAGCCAGCTGGAGCTGGGGGTCAGACTAGATGGCCCAGGAGGCCCCTTCTGACTTGCTCTGTTTGTTTCTATGTTCTATGTTACCCCTGGAGCCAGACCTGGCCTTTTTAGGAGTGGTCTTACCACTCCCTCTCTCAATGAGGCGTTGACAGCCTCCTGGACCCAGGGTCAAACCCTTTCCACAGAGAGCAAAGTGATGTTCAAGGGTTTTGCAATACAGGATTTTACCCTATATGGAGAGATTCAAGCGGAATTCCAAAAAGGAAGAAGCACTTGAGATCATATGGAACACACCAAAGAATTTCGGAAGACGATCTGAAGTCTATGGCTTATAGACTGCAGCAAAGCCTTTGCAGGAGGCTGGGGGAGTCCTGAAAGAATTGGGGGCACCTTGGCACTTGATCATCCTGATGCGTATCTTGTATCGCAGACAAGAAGCTACAATTCCACATATTCCAAAGAATATGGAGAACCAGCATGGTTTCCCTTAGGCAGAGGTGTCAGGCAAGGGTGTCTGTTCAATCTGCATGCATATCATAAGGAAAGGTGGACTAGGATTACAGGAAGAAGTGAAAATTGATGGAGCACATCACTAATTTATGCAGATTATCTGCATGGTACTGGCGGAAAACAGCAATGAACTGGTGACTCCTGATAAAAGTGAAAGAAGCAAGTGCAAACCAGGCCAGAGGCTGAACACGAAGAGAGCAAACATCACGACCACAGAAGAAGTTTGCTGCCAACAATGAGGACTGTGACGTGGTGAACGATTTTGCATGCGTTGGCTCAACCGTCCCTTCAAAGGGAGACAAGAAATTAGAAGACTGAGGCTGGGCGGGGCAGCAATGAAGGAACTAGAAAAGACTGGAAATCATGGGCAGGATTTTCTGCATTCCCACTCACTACATAAGGATGTGCAGGCAGGGCAGTGAGGGAAGCTGGGAGGAAGAAAATTCATGTATTCGAAACATGGCGCAAACAGAACAGAACCCTGCAGATAAGCTGGACTGACAGAAAGACAAGCAGGTGGGTCAGAGCTCAAGCTAAAGCAGGACGTTCCCTGGAAGCAAAAATGATGAAACTGAATCTGCCATACTTCAGGCATGAGAAGGCAAGACTCACCGAAGAGGAAATCATGCCTGGGGAAAGTCGAGGGCAGAGGAAGGGGGGAAAGGCCAGCTAGGAGATGGATCAACTCCATAACGTCCCAGCGTTCGGTTACCAGAGCTCAGCAGATTGTGGAAGATCGGATATTTTGGAGGGCGTGCATTCATCGGGGCGCCGCAAGTCAGAGATGGCTTGTCAGCACTTAACAATGACAAAGGGATCCATAAAATACAGATTTTTTTCCTGTAAGCATGGAAGAAACCCAACCTCTTCCATGTGC